TTATTGTTCTTTATATACAGTAGCAAGAAAATAAAGCCTGCCTACATGTCCATCAACAGATGAAACTGTGGTACATACATGAAATAGATTATATTCAGTCATAATATGAAATTATGAAATTTTCAAGAAAATGGATAGATCTGGGAAATATTATACAAATGAGGCAGCCCCAAAAGACAAATATCACATGTCCTCAGTCATACATGGATCCTAGCTTTAAATGTGTATGTGTGCATGTGTGTGTGGTGTGTGTGTGTGTGTGCATGTGTGTGTGTGTGTAGATGTGAGTACAGGTCATGTAACCAGAAAGCCATTATTCTGTACAATTAACATACATTAATAATAAAAGTGAGAGAAAGAAAAGGAATACATGTAGACATTCTTATGAAGAAGCGCCACCTAGACTTTAGGCACTCTTCTTTTGGAAACTTCTCTAAGAAACAGTAATGACCACCCCATGTAAGAAAGGAAAACCAGGGCTGAAGAGATGGCTCAGCAGTTAAGGGAACTGGCTGCTCTTGCAGAGGACCTGGGTTTGAATCCCAGCACCTACATGGCGGCTAGCAACCATCCATAACTCCAGTTCCAGGGAATCTGATGTCCTCTTTTGATCTCCAAGGGCATTGCATGACACAGGTGTACCTACCTACATGCAGGCAATACATTCATACACATAAAATAAAAATAATAATATATATATTTTTTATTTAGAAGATTAAAAAAAAAGCACCAGGAGGGTACGTAGCTTCTCCAGAGTCCCATCAGTCACCAAGAAGAGAGCCACGTCCACATACAGGTTTGTCCAAACCTTCCCAAGGCCCTGCGACATTCTTAACAATGAGATGCTTATACGAACAAGGCAATGACAGGTCAGTATTGTATCTCATGGGGAATCAAAGCACTCAACCAAAATGAGGGGGAGCAGGAAAAGGCAGGCAAATGAATTTCTGCAGCACAGTTCTCAGCTACCACAGAAAGAGCTGCCGTGCGGTGCTTTCATTAACCCAGGCACTGCGCTAATTGAAGAAGACAGCTCTTTGAACTGTTGATTCTCTAAAGCACTAGCCTCTCCTTTGGGTCTTGAATGGCATTTGAAAATCATAGAGGAGGAAGAAGTTGGTGTTATTCTAGATGACTGTGGCCATAGTTTTATGACACTGTGGTTTAAGATACATGCAGATTCCGAAAATGTGATCGTGGACTTCAACAGTGTCTCTATGTAGTCTTTTATTTACTTTTTTTTACTTTTCTCTTCAATTTTTTTTTAATTCTTTTTAAGACTGGAGTTCGACACCTTGTAATGTCTCCATTCTCCTTTGCTTTTCTCCATTTTATAGAACAACAACATTTTTTTTTTCTAAATATCAATTAAGCTCTAGATTTAGGCAAAGGAATAGCAGCAGTCTATTGATCATAACATTAGCCCCAGGAGAAAAACAAAGCCATAAAAGGGAAGGGTTTGGGGGTTTTGTGTTAGCAGGCAATACTCAATTCATAGCATCCTTATTAAGTATTTTCTAGCACTGCACACAAACAGAAGAGGCATTTAAACAATAGTCACTAGTTCCAAGGATTCCTAACACCAGGCAGCACACATTGCATTTATTTGCCTCTGAATATGCTTCCTCGGGGAGAAGGCTGGAGGAAAGTGCATCCCGAAGCTTTTTAGTGTGTTTACTTACATTTATCCACAGTCACTCCTAATGTGATTCTTCTGACTAATCAAAGAGCTGCTTAAAATTGAGTACAGTAAAAATGTAACTAATTTATATGAATTTGGAGTATGGGCAGCCTGAATTGGCTATATGGATATGTCTGAATTATGTAACATTTTAAGAGCAATTCAATTTCATTGCTTTCAAATCACTTCAGGGTAACTACTCTGAATGATCATCAGTAGGTAGATGTTTTTAAAGACCAAATTTGGTGATAACTAAGAAGGAAATGTAATTATTATTTTAATTGCTTACATTTAAATGATACTTCTGAATTGTCAACCAAAACTTAATTCCTTAAATGACTTACTATGGCTCCAACGTTACGTAACACAAAAGGATTTGTTGGCTATCTGTTATAGAGCATTAGGGGAAAGGTATATGGCAAGGTTTGTCCTCCATAACATTATGTTTATAATCTCCTTAGGGCCCATCTTTTCTATTGATTTGCTTCCTCATATCAAGACTTCTCCACAAATGAAGGTGGGAAAGGACACCTCAGCTGCAGCCAGATGCATGCAAACTGCTGAGATAATGAGAGTGTACTGCTCGTGGATTTATTCATCATTAAATAACTGTCACTTGCCAGGCTCTCCAACCTCTCAAAGTCCTGTTTCTTGCTTTTGATACTTCTCCTCAACAAAGCCCAGCCAGACACTCCCAAGTTACAGAGATTGGAACTGACGAGGGCTCTGCAGCAGCCTTTCTCTCTCTCTGGTAAACCACAAGGCATGTCACAGAGGTCCTGCTGACAGGTCCTGACTGTCATGCAATCATATCCACACATCTGCCACCCAAAACTTCAACTATAACTCAAAGATAAGGTCATGAGAGGCATTTTTGTTTCAAGTGAGAGCTATCAGCCTGTGCCTTCCTTAAGCATCTGGTAATAAACATCTGGGGGGTGGTGTTCTAGGAAACTGAGATTCTCTATGGGAAGGGGGTGGGAAAAGGGCTTTAGAAACTCAGAATTTTTGAGAAACTGGCTATAGCTCCACTGGTTACCCAGTTTAACACCAGACTCAAAAAGCACAGCTGATAAAATGGGTAAGAAATAACCTTTAAGAATCCCACTGAAAGCAAACCGAATGGTGGCAGATTCCAAGATCTCATAGGACATTTCTTCCTTCTAGCTTCTCCTTTATCCACGTGGGACAGCGCCTGGTCAGTGGCATGCAGGAGCTGCCTTAGACTGTGGAGAGAGCTGGCTGTGTGCAGCTCCACCCAGACTCTTCTGTGATTTCACGCTAGTAACTAAAGGCTGATTGTGGCAAGTACTTGTCCTATGGAAACTAATGTGTGCTACGTCACATCACAAGAGCCAGTTGGCAGACATTTACTGTCCCTATGGTGATACCATGGACTCTTGTCTTTGTTTTGACAAACTTCACAGTACCTCATCCCTGGGACATCTCTGTGGATACTGGTATGACTCACCTACCTGGGCTCGGTTGGTGTAGAGCACTTTCATGTCCTTCAACTTCTCCAAGCCCTCAGTGTAGTGGAGGATGGCTGCTTCATAGTCACCCTTGCCAAAGGCCTCGTTCCCCTGTTCTTTTAGGGCTGTGAGAATAAAAGGCACACAGTGATCCCTCACTGCATGTCTGAAGGTTCCTCTTGACTATATTCCCGATTTTCCACTTCAATTCACAATCACTCATTTCTCTCTGCAAGTATTTAAGGACCAATTTCTGTAAGTATTTTTCCCTTCAAATCTCCCCCTAGGTTTTCTAAGAGGCTTCTCAAAGAAATGACTTTTTTCTGCACTGAGGCTTACATCAACTCTAGTCTTAACTTTGACAGAGGCAGTGCCCCCATAAAGGGCTAATCTTACAGATGGGGATGGGCCAGATCTGGAGCACTGTACTGTTGGGTGTTTTAAAATAACATAAACACTCTTCATATTCACATATCTGACTCGCAAAACGCCTATGTCTGTCTTGCTTTTCTTTGGCCTTATTTTTTACTTTTCGTTTTCTTGTTTCACGTTTCTTTTTGACTGCTTCACCTGGGCAGTGGAGCCTCCTTTCCTTCCTTCCTAATTTCCAGTCATCATCCAAGAATCTGATCCAGTGACTCTATGCACTAGCATTAGCAGGAGGGCTGACTGTAGGATCTGACTGAGGCTGTGTCCTACTGCCTGACTGCTGCGGTAGGAGCAGAGGACAGACCACCAATGATTTCTGCCTAGCCAGGTCCCACAGCTGCAGGCCCATCATGACCCCTCGGGAGCTGGATGTTCTCAGGCATCAGCACAAAGGCTCTCCTGTGCTCTTCCCAGCAAGAAGCACCCCAGTGATTGAACAGTGAGGGCTAAATTACCATCTGCTAGGACTTTGTTTTCCCTTCTTTTCTTGGCTCGCTCCTTTGCGTCCTTCTCCACGGCTGCCAGGAAGGACCCTGGCAGGGTAGTTTCCAACATTAAAAAAGAAAAAGTCAAATACTCTAATCAGTTCTTTAGCTCAGACTCCAAAGAAAGCTACTTTAGAACTTTACAGTTGTACTTCTCATGCATATAGACACACACACACACACACACACACACACGCACACACACACACACACAATTCTGAAGCAGCTAAAATGACATTTTCTTAATTTGACATTAAATGCTAACCTGTGTGATGTATTATTATACATGATGGCTATGACTATGCTTCAAGTTTGAATTATGTCTTTTAAAAGAGTTTTTTTTCCTTTGAAGAGAGACTCTTTTTTGTTCCATTTAGCATAATGAACCTCAGAGCTGAGTAACACAAAAAATATCTGCATGCCCTGAGCAGGTGAGGGTAAACTGGATGATGCAGATAACTGAATTCAGTTTACAGAAGATTGGTCAAGAGAAAACAGAACAGCCTCAGTGCGCTGTCCCTTTAGACCAGTGACACTGGAATTGGGGGAACAGCAGGTTTTGTTCATGCTTGTTTGTAAATGCTGAGTCTATAATTTAAAGGTCTGGAAATTACAATATATTAAATCCAATTTTAAATTAATAAAACGCACTGGGAACAGAGACAGTGTCCTTACCTGGGTTTATTTCATCTGTATTCTGTAAGACACAGGTGATCATAAAAACAAAGAAACAAATTTTAAAACTCATTTTTTTGATTTGTATGTATACAAGCCAAGAAACCAATCACAAATGAGGAGTCAGGCCTTTTTCTTTAGCCAGTAAGAGTGATGGGTTCAAAATTTAAGGGATATACTTTAAAGCAGGAGATGTGATTGTGGTCACAATTATGGGACTAATTCTGTAAAATTACAACTACCCAGGTCAAGGGACCCCATCAGTGACTGTGTTAAAAATATGAATTGTAGAACATGTGAGTTTAGCAGTAAACTTTAAAACTGGCACTCTTCAAGGAGAGAAGACAAATTTTCATCAAAGAAGGGGGAAAATCCCACAGAACTTTTATTTCTATATCGAAAACAAAGTTAGCAAGCCTGAGGAGCAAAAGACTACTCTGGCTTCATCAGGCAGTTTGAGGTCAACTTCCTGCCTCTGCTTATGTAACTCCGTAGCAGAAAAGTAAACCTCAGGAGCTTGCGGGGGACTGATCATCGTCTTGTTCAAGGTGGTCCTGCATCCTTCTTCTTCCCGGTCCTCCTCCATCAGCAAGAGTCTCTTTTCTGTCTCCACGACAGCTTTCTGTTGTATGACTGGGTCATCAGAATTCATCTCTTGAATTAAATTGGCTAGAGGAGAAATCACATGTGAATCAATCAAGCAAGTTCTTCAAAAGGAAAGATCCCATTCATTGGAAAGGATGATGTAGAAAAGTAGTGGGGAAGATCTTAAGGAGAAGAAGGCAATAAAAAGCAAAATGGATCATTAGAACCAATATGAAATAATTAAAAATAGTATTTGTTTTGCCTAGAAAAAATCTGCAAGAGAATTTAATAGTAGGCTTCAAGGAATAGAGTTTTAAGCCATTGTTCAACTCAACAGTAATCTATGGACAGCTTATTAGGAGTTTTATATTAGGCTGAATATGATAAACAAAAACGATGAATAAAAAAGTCCTTTTGTTTTGATTTTTGTGAAGTTTGTATCTTGTGTGGGAGACAAATGTAATACAGGCAGCTCTGAGAGTCACAAAACAATAGCCCTTAATTCTCTCTCTGCTTCTCTTCACTGCACTGCCTACCCAGATCAGCATTCATGATCCATCACTCAGTGGTCGTCATGCCCCACACCCCACCAAGCGGATGAATCTGTTCACCTCACCTCAATTTGAGATCAATCTAACTACTCACCTTTCAAAGCTTTTACTAAGGATGTTGAACGCCGATGTAGAAAGGCAGATAAATACCTGGGGGTGGTAATAGTCCCATCTTGACTAGAACTTCAGAGACCCCCAGCAATCCTACTCTGTAAGCCTAGGCTAGGCATCCTACTGTTTTCTCAAAGATATTCAATGTTTTGGAAATCTAAGCTTGACTGGCCTTACTTATTCATTCAAAGAGGATAGGGACATCAGAAAGAAACTCTCAACATCCTGCTGTTAAACCGACACAACTGCGTACATGTGCATCCATCTTTGCTTCCTGCCACAGGGGAAAGTGGCTGGACCTGTACTCAAAATCCCATCAGCCTGCTTTGTATGATCAGGAATCCTACATCACTCATTCATTACCCAATTTTTGCAATATTTTCACCCTCTACCATTGACTACCTTCTTCCTATGACACCTGCATACTTTAAATCTCTCTCAATGCCTGGTCTCCTCTCCTTTATAACTAAAATTTTTCTGTTCTTTTATTTGAAACAGACTTTCACAGAGTGCAAGCTGGTCTGAAAGTCAAGGATGACAGTGAACTCCTGGTCCTTTTGTCCCCACTTCCAACAGCTGGGATTTCAAGAGTGTGCCACCACTTCTGGTGTGTGAAGTGCTGGGACTGAAACCCAGGATTTCATGTGTGCCAGGCAAGCAGGCTACCAACCGAGCTATATCCCCAGCCTAACAATTAGAGGACTAAAAGGCATTTATCCTTTCTTGGAGCAGGAGAGACGGTTCAGTGGTTAAGAACACTGGCTACTCTTGCAGAGGACCCAGGTTCAGTTCCCAGCACCCACATGATGGTTAACAACCATCCATAACTCCAGTTCCAGGGGGGTCTGACGCCCTCTCTGACCCCTACAGGTACTGTATGACATGGATGCATTTACACACACACAGGCAATACCCACATACACATAAAGTAAAAATAAGAAATATTTTTAAAATATGCCATTTCTCCAGCATGGTTTAACATTTTATAAGTTTTGACTGCATATTATAGTACCCCAAAACATAGTGGCTTAACCCCACCACCATGTATTTAGCCTTACATAGTTCACAATACTCTGGGTCAGCAATGCAAGTAAGATTTAACTGGTTGGTCCTTGTTTCTGGTTTCAGGGGATCTCAGTAGACATCTATGGTCAGCTGTCAGTCATCTAAAGGGCTTGTCTGAAAGTTGGCTGAGTGACGGGAAAGCCTACCCCTCTCCTGGCAGGGCTCAAGAGCAACAGGCAAGCAAGCCCGACACACACTGCACACGTCTGCCCCTTTGGAGCCTCAGCTTCTGCTCTGTATTTCCTTGGCTAAGGCAAGTCATGTGACCAGGGGCAGAGAAACAGTCTCTACTCTTGGGGTGAAAAAAGATGTGCCATGGTGAAACCCAATACCTCATATGCTCTTTTATAAAAATAAAAAGGATAGAGTTCCCCTTCCTTCACATTCTTAACACTTGCTGCTGCCAAACTTTTAAACTTGTTACCATGATGGTTGCGAATAAAATCTTATGCTTTCTTTTTCACTTTGTTATCGTGATTGGGATTTAGTGTCTTCTTACTGATTTGTGAGACTTTTAGATTTTCTTTTGTGTGATGTGCCTCTTCCTATCCTTGGCTCATTTTCACGGGGTCACTTGTCCTCTTTGTATTGACTTAAACAATTTCTTATAAATTCTGAACTGGTTACATGGATTTAAAAAAAATCTCCTTGGATATGGTGTCTTTGCTTGTTCTTATGGAATCTTTAATGGATCCCATGTGCTCCCATATGCAAGTGTGCACATACACACACACATACCATATATATATATATATGTATATGTATAAATCTTTGAAAGTTCAAAGGTTTTGGTTTTTTCATTAATGTATCAGATCCCAGGAAGAACTGAGTTTTGTGTAGGGTGGGAGCACAGCTTACAGAGGAGCTCCTGCCTTCCCGGCTGACATGTCGTCACTCCTGTTAAGCTGTGAAATTTGCCCTTTCCAGTATATAGCTTTTTAATCTCAAACAGTGGAGAATTCTCTCACCAATTTTTTCCTGCAGAGTTTTCTTGGTTACTATTGGCCTTTTGCTCTTTCACATGAACTCTGGAATCAGTTTGTTGAATTTTAACACTATTGAGAGTTTGATTAAATTGATGAACTGCATAGACTAATCTGAGAACTGATATCTTTGCCAAACGAGCCTGCCCATCTAAGGAAAAAGAAACGTGTGTCCATGTATTCAGATGTTCTCTTATGTCCTTTAATGAAATTAAAAAAAATTATTTATTATTTTTATTTTACGTGTATGGGTGTATTGCCTGCATGTAGGTAAGTGCACTCGTGTCGTGCAATGCCTGCAGAGGACAGAAGAAGCTGTTCGATCCCCTGGAACTAGAGCTACAGTTGTTAGCTGCCATGTGGGTGCTGGGATTTGAACCCGGGTCTTCTGCAAGAACAGTCAGTGTTCTTAACTGCTGAGCCATCTCAATGAAATTTTTATCAGTGACGTGCCATACTTTATTCCAATCTCATTACTTTCTCCTTAATATCCTTTTTGGTTCTAGGCTCCACATAGGACAACTTGCTACAGTCACTGTGTCCCCTTAGGTTTCTCGGGGCCAGGATGGTTTGTCATGCTTTCCTTATTTTTCGGGACTTTGACGGTTTTTGTTAGTTTTTACATTTATTTATTATTTATTTATTTATTTACTGTGCAGGTGGGTAGGAGCGCACCTGCTGTGGAGTGCAGTATGGAGGTCAGAGAACAATCTTTTGGAGTCGGTGCTCTCCTTCCATCACATGGGTTCTGGGGATCAAACTCTGGTAGTCAGCCTCAGCATCAAGAGCCTTTACCTGCTAAGCCATCTTGCTGGCCTCACTTTAACAGTTTTTAAGTCCTGGGAAAGTGTTTTGTAGAGTTTGAGGCTTGGGTTTATGTGGTGTGTTTCTCATGGTTTAGAGTAGGGATATAGGATTTGGGAGGAAGAGAACAGTATACACATCAAGACGGTGTGCCATCACCATGATTTACCATGGCGTTAACTCTGATCATTGGTGTAAGGTTGTGCTTGTCAGTGTTTCTCCCTTGTCAACTTACTTCCCATACCACACTCTTTGGAAGCAAGCCATTAAAAGTATCTCACATTTAAGGGATGGAGAGACATACTTCAACCCCAGAAGGAGAAGCATCTACATAAATTATGAGCAATCCAATCTGCATAGGAAATTTGCTTTATTCATTTACTTATTTACTTAGTCAATCAGTTATTTATATTAGTATGGACTCATGGATATTTATTTTATGCTTTGGATTATAATGTAGAACTATGCTGTTTATTTGGTTGCTCAAATTCTTCCAATTTTGTCCACGGGGAGCCCTTTCAATTAAATTTTATAATTTTCTCTGTGAAGATCTTGCATACTTTTTTTGAAAGGTTTTGTCAAGTCTGGCAATCCCAGAGCTGGATTGCATATTTTTTGATAGATTTATTTTCATATTGTAAATGCAGTCTTTCCTGAGGCCAAAACCCAGCAATCTCATTTCTGGGTATAAATATGAAGGAAATGAAATCAGCATATGAAGAGGTATCCGCAATCCTATGGTTCATGATACCGTCATTCCCAGTAGAAAGATACAGAAACACCCTAAGCATCCATAAGCAGATGACTAGACAAAGAAAAATGTGGCGTGCACGCGCACACACACACACACACACACACACACACACACACACGCACACCCGTGCAAAATGGCATGCAATTCAGCTTTAAAAGGGAAGGAAATTTTGTTATTCTGACATGAATGAATCTCGGGAAACATTATACTAAATGAAATAAGTTTGGCACAGAAGGACACGTGGTGTGATCTCACTCATATAGAGTCTTAAAAAGCTAAATTCAGAGCTGGGGTGTGACTCAGAGGTAGAACACTTGCTTAGCCCTCTTGAGGCCCTGGGTTCACTGTTGAGGCACAGCCATTATCTATATATCTGTATATATCTATATGTGGTGGTTTGGAAGAGAAATGTTTCTCATAGGCTCAGGTTTTTGAGCACTTGATTTCCCAGTTGGTAGAGCTGTTTGAGGAGGTTATGGGGGGTGCAGCCTTGATAGAGGTGGTATGTCTGGGGACCGACTTTGAGAGTTTATAGCCTCCACTTCCAGTTTTCCCTCTTTCTCTAGGCATGAGGCTGAGATGTCATCTCTCAGCTTCTGCTTTGGCTGCCTGCCGCCATGCCTCCCCAGCCATTATAGACTCCTCCTCTAGATTCATAACCCCAAATAAAGGTTTTCTTCTTTACGTTGCCTTTGCTCATGGTATTTTATCACAGCAAAATAAATGTAACTAATACCCTGTATCGATATATCTGTATATCTACATACCTATATCTTATAGGTATATAAAACTTATACATGCAGAATAGAATGTGTGGGGTTGGGTTGGAGAATAGGAAAATGTTGCTCAAAGGAAGCTATACAAGTTCTAGTCAGACAAGAATAGATACTACAGTGCTACTGCACAGAAGGATGGGGTTCAGTGAACAATCATGTATTATAGCTTGAAGACTAAGAGGGTAGCCCTTAAATGTAGTCACCACAAAAGCAGTTAAGTATGTGATATGACACGTTAATTTGTTTGACTCAATTAGTTTATAATGTGCCCACAAATCAAAAGGTGCTGTAAACCATAAATACATATAATTTTGTTAATTAAAACCTACCTAAAAACTAATAAAGCTAATATTATACTTTTTGCTTTAAAGTCTATTTTGTCTGATACTAATATTCAACATCTATTTTCTTTTGCATAGTGTTTGCTTGGTACATATTTCTCCATTTTTAAAAATATTTTATTATTTTTATTTTATGTATATGCATGTATTGCCTGCATGTAGGCAAGTGCACCCATGCCGTGCAATGTCTGCGGAGGACAGAAGAGGCTGTCAGATCCCCTGGAACTGGGGTTATGGACCGTTGTTAGCTGCCATATGGGTGCTGGGATTTGAACTGGGTCTTCTGCAAGAACGGTCAGTGTTCTTAACTGCCAAGCCATCTCTCCAGCCCCTATTTCTGCATTTTTAAGGACTCAATTTACCTCTGTCTTTCAGTGTAGACTGTCTCTCTAGGCTCAGACTTAAGAGCTGATGCCCTCTGATTATTATCCTTGGGGTGTTTTAGTCATCAAGCCTGACATGTCTGTCTTTCTTCTAAGTCTGTTGCTGCTTCAAAGGTCCCTGCATTTCAGTAAATTGCCTGGCCTCCTACCTGTCACTCAACTCTCAGGACTCATCTATGAGTCTTCCTTCTCAATCAGCCCTCACAGCCACAAACACTAAAGCTTGTCGAGTACAACTTCGAAGTGTGTTTCAAATCTCTGTTCTGTCTCCATACCCACTGTCTTGATTCTAAGTCTAACTGGCTCTTCTCCTGCAGCTCTGAGAAGAGCTCCCAACCTCACCACTGTTTTCTCCCCCTCCAGCCTTCATTCTTCACTGCAAGGACTTTCCATTGTCCTGCTCTATGGATTCCTGGAACATTGCTCCTGGCAAATGTAAGGACCTTATTGTGGCTTCCTCCACCTTCCCTGATCTGGCCTCTCCCCACTCTGATGAGAGCCTTCTCTCCTTGCTGGTTTCTCTCCAGGTATAAGGGCCATTTCAGTCCTTTTGTTTCTAAAAAGTACCACATGCTTTCTTTAGCTCCCACATCTCTTACTTTCCAGCTAGAACATTCCTTTACACTCTCCCTGGTGGCTAACTCCTATTGATTTTTTAGATTTTGCTTAAATTTCACATCTTGAGGGTAATTTTGGCATCTGTTATAGCCTGGACCATGTACACTCCCTCAAATCTTCACTGAAGCCCCAAATCCCAATATGACTCTATTTGGTCTTTGCAGAAGTAACCAAATGAGACCCTAAGTTTAGGGCTGAAATCCAGCAAGACTTGTGTCTTCCCAAGTACACACAGAGGATTCTGTTAAGCATCACACTGAGCTGTGTGCTACTCCAGGAACATCTTTAAGGAGTCGGCACCAAGGCGGAAGACATCAAGACTAAAATCAATCAGTAATACTGCCCCTTTCGACAGCTGCTTCCCCACCTAGAACCAGACTAAGAACTGCAGGCAGAGCTACTTGGACTTTCACTACTGTAAGAAAGCAATGACTACAAAAGGGGGTGTTGTTTCTATGTGTGAGCTTGCCTGAGCACACACAAACCCCACTGCCCCATATCCTGGGTCTCAACCTGGGACAATGGCTAAGTGGAAGGCACATTTCCAGGGAATCTGACTTGGCTCCATCCCACCTCTCTTCTGTCCTCTGTCCTTCTTGGGTAGTAAAGAGGGAACCTAGGTACATGATAGTCTCTACTCACTGGAAAAGAAAATACTCTCTCTCTCTCTCTCTCTGTATATATATATATATATATATATATATATATATATATATATATATATATATAT